AAAGTTAGACGAAAATCATCAGTACATATATAAATGTCTAAATGTAACTTATCCATATATCACGTGATACTAAAGAAATCGACTTTCGGTTAAAAACTGAATTTTATAATCGACTTGAGTCGACTTAGTCAAGTTGATTTTTTAAGGTCGACTTGGTTCACTAACTCCAAATATCTTGAAATCCACCAGGCTAATTTTGATGATCTAACTATTATTAGAACCAAAAAAATCTTCTCTACAACTTAACTTAGAATTGGAAGAATTTTACTTATCAAAAAAATTTTATAATTTTTAAAAAACTAATATTTATTATATAAATATTAAAAATAAAAAATCTTGTAAATTTTTGTATAACCCATGATAAAAATAGTAAATTACCATAGTGAAAATAAGCATTTCCTATATTAATTACCTTTTTTTCTTAAAAAAAAAAATTTTATATTAGACTAAACACTTATTTAATAAATTAAAAGTAAAAATTTAAATATTACTATTTTGATAAAATTTTTAACCAATCCAAATAAAATTACTATTTTATTTTTATAGCTGTTTTTATAAATTTTGAAACAACTGAAAAAATTGCCAATGACCAAATTGATAAGTTACCAAGTTGGAATCAATAAATAACTAACTTCTAAAGCTTATCAATTCAGTTATTGGCAATTTTTTTAGTTGTTTTAGAATTTATAAAAAAGCTATAATATACAATTTTTACCCAGGTAACTTATAAATCCACTTGAAGGGTTGCTTTTTTAACTCACCTGGGTTCTACCCGGGTGGCTCACGGGTCCACCCGCGGAGACCCGGGTGGCATTTTTTTTGACGGGTCCAATTACTACAGTATATTTATAACCTTAATATCAAGCTATTAAATTTTCAAAAATTGTTATACAGTATATTAATATATAGAGTCTTTGCCTAAAAATGACATTACGGGACTATGTAAATAAAAATTAAAATTTCTAGCCAATTAATAATCTAATTCAAATAATTTTTTTTTTTATTTTGTAGAACTCACTAAGCTTTAAAAAAGTTTATTTTAATTGGATTACTGGATAACTAGAAATTTTAATAAAATACATAGTCCCGTAAGGTCATTTTCAAGGCAAAGACCCCATATAGATTCATTACAGTCTACCCTCGTTTATATCAATCTATTTGAATTTGTTTTAATTCATGTTGATAGTGATATTAACAAGGGATTATGATATATGAGAGAGTTTTAATATATAAAAATTTGTAAAAATTCATCTTATAGCTTAGGTTGATATTAACGAGGGTAGACTGTATATCAAGATTAATTAAACATAAAGGCTAAAGATAAATTTCACTATATTATGTGTTCGTTATATCGAGGCTCGGTGTATCAAAATTATACTGTGATATGTACCGTTTTTTTAATTTTGCAAAAACTATAAATACAATATATTACGTATTGTTATTTGACCAATAAATGCGTACAATGTTTTACAACCCCTGCAAAGAAACATGTTTATAACATTTTAGGTAGCGCACCCACAAATATTTTCCTACCCCCGTAATTTATAAAACCGCGTTATAATTAGGGTTAGAGCGAATTTCAATTAGTAAAATTTCACAAGGAACATTTTTAATTAGGCCGCAGAAGGTGGTTTCTTACCGTAATTAAAATTTCGAGTTATTTCAGTTTATTTGTAAAAAATGGGTTCGCTTCGTTTGTTTACGTTACACCTGATCTTGAAATTTGATTGGCCAAAAATCACGGGAGGGGAAAATTTTTGTGGGGGTTGTTTATAACTGCCAATAGCATATATCGATATGTGAATTTTACGCATAGGGTCAAAGGCTAGTGTGGTGTCACACAGAGGTGGGCATAGTGTTGGGTTCTTTACAAAACAAATCATCTCTAAAATATCTCTGCATCTTACCAATTGGTGGCTAAACTATCATCTGTCAATTGAACTACGTGACATATAAAACATTTATACAAATATATTTCAATATCACTTTACACCTAATTATTTCATAATTTTTTTTTTAAGCTGTATGCAATGGACAAAGAGATGGCAAAAGACATAATCCGATACTAGATAAATTACTGGCTAATTGACCAAATATTCCATTTATAAAGGCTATGGCGCAAGTTGTTTTTTTTTTCTCGAAATCACTTACCTGCTTTTATTAAAAAATCAACTGTAAATTTCTCGATAATGAACCGGACGAAACTTGATCGCTGTGACAATTACTCAACGAAATTTTTGACACTTTATTTATCACACTTCAGGATAGTCAATCACATTATTCTAGATCTCACCTTTTACTTTCGTGGATCCACATTCCCAAAGCCATATTCTTCATTGTATTCATGAATTTGCACATAGCTAAAATATAACACTGACAATAGTGAAGTAAATGTTGATAAAAGACGGTAATTTTATTTTATTGTTCTACATACTCGCCTTCTTCCGCGCTTGAATCTGCATGTTTGCTAACCTCTCGTTGAGGAAAATCTCGAATAGGCGATTGAAATTTAACTGATTCTTCTGGCTTCGGGGATGTTTGTTTGATAAGCTCTGACTTTGGGGACAGAGGTTTATATTCACCATGTTTTGGATCAGTTAATTTGCTGTACTCTTGATATCTTGGTTCTATATGTCTTGACTCATATTTGAGTTTTGTCTAAAAACAATACATGCTATGATTTAAATATGAATATTTACATTATAGCGAAATATAATCTAGAACTGTATTCTATGATACCTTTCGTCGCTTCCTTTTATCACTACCATCTTTCTCTTTGTCGGAAAGATCAGCACTATCAGCCGAATAGTCAGAATGATGAGTCCGACGATGATGATATGATCGGTGACTTTTATGCTTTTTCTTACGATCTGACGATACATGTCGATCTTCGTCTAAATCTTCATCTTTAATCGTTCCTTCTTCCTCTTCACTGTCTTCACCACTTTTTTCCATACGCTTTTCCTAGTAAAACAAAATTTGGCAATTTATAAAATAGATCTCCCATGAACGTTGAATCACGAGAGACATTTATATACTCTTACCTTAACTCTTTCCATAAATTTAGTGAAAATTTCTATTCGTTGTTCTTCTGAGCCAACTGCTTGAAATTCTTCGGTTTTCTCTATAATTGGTCGTACCTACAACATATATATTATTCGATATCAAGAAGCAATTGACTTAAACCAATTTATTTTAATTAATAAGATTAAAATAATTCACACCTGTTCCCAAGTAGTTTCAGGTGTAAACGTTGATTCCAAATGTTTGAGAATTGATTTAAACGCATCTAATTTTCGACGCTGTTTCTTTTCTTGTCTTCGTTGTAGCTATTATATAATTACCATTCACATTATTATCGTTTTATTGGCTATATAGTTAGAATGATAATACACGCTTATATGTATTATATAGATTACCTGCTCAAAAATTATTTTGAGATTAGTCTCATTAATTGAAGAAATACGTTCATCTGAACTGAGAATTTCTTGAAATTCCTCAAATGTGAATCCGGAAGACATTGAGATATCTTTTGACTAAAAATAAATATTAAACGCCATTTTTAAATTTTATAATATTTCAATTAAATATATATATCAAATTTTACATACTTTCATAATTTCATTCACAATTTTACGATGTGAATACAAAATCTCATCAAGCTCTTCGACAACATCCCAGAATAATTCGAGAGGATTGGAACCTGGTTGTCCGAGTATATTTTGATATCTTTCATCCGTATGAATAAGTGGATATATTTCTTTCCATTTAGATTTAGCGGTTATCACATTCTTTTGGCGCAATTCTTCCATAAAAACTCTGTAGGCATCCCGATTTTTGCGTTGTTGTCTCGCTTGTAATTCAACTTCCCGCTTTTTCTTTTCTGTTGTCTCCCGCTCTAAGTTTCTGACGTGCTCCTCGTAGACGGCCAGGAAATCCAACATATCCATATCTTGAAGAGATTTGTCTTGTTGATATTCGGGAGTATTCATGTATATGGTTTGTGCTTCAGCCCATCGAGTGGCTTCGGTGATGCTTGGAAGAGACCGCAAAAGTTGACTAAATTTCTCCTTATTTTCTTTACGAACAGCTCGCTGAATTTCCTGCATATAAATAAATAGCAATGTTTTAGCAAAGCTCATAATTTTCACCAATACAAAAATATATAGAAATATCACACCTACCTTTTCTTGTTTTCGCAAGTCATATACATATTCACTGAAAATTTCTTCACGTGTTCTGTCATCTTCTATCGCTAAAAATGCAGGCTCTTCACCAAGAAGATCACATACTTTTCTAAATTTATCATTACAAATCGATGTTATATATCAGAAATATACTATTAATTAGTATATTAAAGAAAATACCTGTAACGTGTCGATGAATTGATATCAGGATGAGAATTTAGCAATGAGATAAAATCTTGTCGAATTTTAACAACTTTTGCTTTCTTTTCCTCCTGTCATTGAATAAGAAGCAATTAAGGTTAAGAAAATGAATGAATACAAAATATTTGTTAATGTACAATTTTACCTCTTCTTTCTTAATAAGGTCATCTACATATCTTTCAAACGCTTGTTTACGTTCGTTCAAGGTCTTGAGTGCACGGTACATTGGGCTTGAAATGGTTGCTCTCATAGTTTGTTCCCAAGACCAGTCAGACTTGACTCCCTGTGTAGTAAAATCATTAAGAAACAATTTTATGGAGTAATTTAATCTAGGTTTTATATGATTTATAACTTACAGATTTTTTAAGCATTTCGCGAAATGCAGCTTCAGCTTCTTCTTTGGTATCGAATTCGACCTTTACTGGCTCGGATTGCTGAATAGAGACAATTGGTATATGGGATCCGGCTAGTCCTAGCGGTCTAGTAGAAACATTTATTGGAGTTGTATTAATTGGACTGACTGCCGGTGTGCTCAATTGACGAGCCCGCTCAAAATCTTGTTGATTAGGTGAAACTACATTTCCATTAGTTTGAGGCGATGATTCGCTGTTCCTAAAATTAGAATTAAACCGTTATTACTTAAATATTACGTATCACTTGTATCATTTGTAATTAATAGATCTTTACTGTTGTAGTTTCTTTTCCATCTCCAGTTTATCGAGAAATTCTGCATAATGCAAATTAATGTGTTAAAAAATTTTTTATCAAGTGAATTATTTAGTTAATGTTATACTCACCTTTGTATTCATCAGGCATTTCCCATTTAGATTCTTTAGTAATAGAGTTATAAAAATACTTGCGGCCACCATCTGCAGTGAACTCTTTCCAAGGACAAGAGCCTAAAGCTCGCTGTAAAAACAAAATTGGAACTAAGCTATCTGATCCCTTGACACATTATAAGATTTCAAATAAGCTAGAAAGTACCTCTTCGGGAGTTTTCAGTTCATCGGGTTTGTCCCAACTACTTTGTTTGGTGACAGTGTTATAATAATATGTGCGTCCATCTGGGGCAGTATGCTCTGTCCAAACCCGTACCTAGTTGTACACATTACATTAGAAAAAATAAAAAAAATACAATTGCCATAAAATAAAAAGCTACAAGTAACATACGGCTGTAGACGCATAAGGAGGCGCTTGACCTGGTGCAAAGGGTTGACTCGCGACCGGTCTAGTTGCATAGGTTGAGGTAGCTTGAAAACCAGGTCTAGATTGCGAAGGCTAATAAAATGTTCCATTTAAAAGAAAATGTAAATTTTGTCGTTTCAGATAATTTTTATATTTAATGCATTCAAAAATACTTATAAATTTGAGGCTTACAAGAAAGGAAGGCCTTGGTTGACCATATGGAGGAGCACCCTGAGGTGTATTCCATGACATTGTAATAAACAATTAATCGTAAAATAAATCTATACACTTTCCTAAATTTATTATAATTTCGATACGTACGTACAACAATTTTGAATACGTATAGTATCATTTAGGAAACGTTTGAAGTTTCTATCACGTGACCGCATAGCTTTACTAACTACCCCAACATAGCGGGCTTTCATTCTTATTGGCTAATTTTTGTAGATCATCTGATGACGATACAAAATCTGATTGGCTAATCGAAACAAGTTCGAAATAAAAAAAAATTTAGAAATTATTAAACAAAAAGATAGATTTAAACTGTAAATTCGAATTTATAATAACAATTTTTAATATATTGACCCTGACAGTCATTGTCAAATGTGTATCTGGGTAAGTTTAATAAAAAAAAACAATATCTTTAAACCAATAATTTCTTAAATATATATAAAAATCTTTATTAACCAAATCGCTTACTAACTATACATAGTTTAATAATAAATAAATTAAAAAAAAAACCATAAACTATCAATAAAGTAATACATGACATAGAGAGTATAAACAGTATAAACAACTGAACATTAACTATAGAACATTACCTATAAAACATTATTTATCGAATATAGCTATAATCGCACATATCCTTCACATACTCTATATATATACTTTATATTTAATATATCATAACCTTCAAAAACTTAATTGAGTTACCTATATTCAAAAAAAAATATTAAAAAAATGAACTGTAAGTATTGCTGTTTAAATTGCTATTTTCAAGCTTTTTTTTAAAAAGCTTAATACTTATTAGTCAAGGTACAAATTACTTTGCCAAATGCTGAATTACCTTAACCTATAAAACAAAAAGTGCACCCCATCACTAACTTCTGGATTATTTCTCTATTCTTCAGATTATTTTTACTGTAGGTAGAATAAAAGATGTAATTTCAAAATTTATATGTTGTATCTTTTGACAATTTGTTTTCATAGCTGCCAATTCATTTAAAGTTAGATGATATATGTAGTGTAATATGTGATGATATATTTAGTGATTGACCAATCAAAATTAAAGCCCGCTATGTTAATACTCTATGATTAGTTCCAGATTTATATAGAGGCCAAATCTCATAGACAGAAATTCATCTGATTGGCTAATGTAGATCAATTGCTCGGGTAACTTATTTATACACTTTAAAGTACTTTTTGAGAAATGCAATATTTCACTAATATGAAAACAATTTTTTTACACAATTCACTTCGTTTTAGTGCTAGAAGACCACCTTTAAAAATAATCTTAAATAATAAATTAAAGTAGTGCTAGCTTAGACCCAACTTTTTGAACTAGATAAAGAAAAAAAGGTTTTGTTTGACTTTAATAGCATACTAAAAAAAATAGTTACTAACAAATAGCAGGTTTTTTAGAAATCGAAATTTCAGATTTGGTTTTTGAAGCAGAGTAAGCTTGTTTGTAGTGTTAAAAATAAGAAATTTAGAGTTAAAGCACTCTTAAGATGGGTTTGTTTTTAAGTTTGGGTTTATAAATCATAGATATAAGCTTGGGTTCTTAGATAGTTCTGTAGTTAGATTTAGTAAGTTCTAGTTGTTTTAGTAGTTGAACACTGCTTTTACTCCTCTTTACATATATTCATCTATCTTATATATATATATATAATCAGTATTTTTACCAATTCGTAAAAACTTTTTTCTTGAAGTTTTCATTTTTAGTACTATAATATTGTAAAACAACGTGTAGTTTAATTGGTTAATAGTTATGTATAGATTTGCAAATTAATCTAAAAAACTAGCCAATTAGACAAATTTCTGTCTATAAAACCAAATCATAACAATGCCAGGGTATAGGATCGATTTTCTGTTTATGTGATTTTCCAATAACAGTTAGCCAATTAAAAACTAAGATCAGGTATAATGTAAAAAAAATCGAAACAAATATTTGCTTTGCAAAATTTATATTTATCATGAAATATAGACTAGTAAATCGTCTTTTTGGTCCTAACAAAAAATTTTTTTTGCACAATTTTACTATATAATAGCTCTTAAACCCAAATCCTAACCTAAACCTAACCCAAACTCTAATGTAAATAAATTTTTTATATTATATCAGAAAATTACGTGACTGGAAAATTGATCATATACCCTGTCAAAATTGCCAAATTATAGAGAAATTGATATTTTTACAATTTTTTATGCAGTATAACAACACTACTTCGGGCAAAATTAAAAGTATAAATTAGGCCAGGCAATATAAATTTGGCCAACCTGAATAGTCGTCAGATTTTGGGAATATAGACAATCAACAAACAAAAATTTTTATTAACTTCTCGAAAAACAAACATAGCAGGCTTTACTTGATTAGATAATCGACATGAAATATTACACGATATATTTCACATGTTTTGTAATTACAAAAATAGTTTGGCAGCCACAAAGATGAATTAGCCAAACTCGATACCAAATGAAAGTGAAAAAGCACCTTTTGGTCTATATACTATCAAAATAATTTGGTAATCTGCGAAGTAATTTGGAAGTTAGATAAGAGGTATGTTTGGACATTTAAAATTAACCTATTACTTAAATTGTTTTTCAGCCAAATTTGCTTGCAACTTTTTTTAAATTTTAAATTTTTCTAATAAAATTTTAAATATTGATTTTAGCTATATA